ACTCACCTCAGCCTCCCAAAGGCGTGGGATTACAGGCTGAGCCACCGAGCCCAGCTCATGCCTAACTTTTTAATTTTTTTTGTAGAGACAGGGTGTTGCTATGTTGCCCGGGCTGGTCTCAAAGTCCTGGGCTCAAGCAATCCTGCCACCTCTGCCTCCCAAAGTGCTGGGATTCCAGGCATGAGCTGCCATGTCCGGCACATTCTTTTCTTCTTGGGGCCTGATCACCTTCCTCTCTTCATCCATCTATAGTTCCCTTCTGTTTTCTCTTTTCCTCTAGGCCCCTTCTCTGGTGAAACACATTCCCTGCCGTGGAGTAATCTTGAGCACAGATGGGATCTCAATCACTCTAAGTAGGCCCCAGGTGACTGGGGGGACCCTTATTCCTTATTCTAGCAAGAGGGAGAGCCCTGCTCAAACCTCTTGGTGGCTCCAGAGAAGGCCCTGCACTTGAGGAAGAACCCAGGACCTCAGGTAAGAGCTGTACAGCTGTTTCACTAGGTGGCCAGGGAAACCAGAAGTTGGGGAGGACAGGGGTAGGGCATTCCAGGAGTGGGCAGCGGAGGAGGGCGGGAAGGTTGGCATGTTAGGAGGCCCCAGAGCAAAATCCAACACTGCTAAGAGAGAGGACAGCCCCGAGCCCTGCTTGCTGCTCACCTAGTCTGCCCAGCAGCATCTGTCCCACATCCTTGATGTCATTGTACTCGTGCAGCTGGGTGATGTGGTCCTCCAGTTCGTCCACACTGTAGCCTCTGGGATGAACAATGAAGAGAAAGGGAGAGGCAGCATCATTAAGAAAGCTGATAGCCGGGCTCGGTGGCTCCGCCTGTAAGCCCGCGCTTTGGGAGGCCGAGGTGAGTAGTGGATTGCCTGAGCCCGTGGGTTCGAGACCCACCTGGGCAACTTGGTGAGACCTCATCTCTACAATAAATCAAAAAAATAGCCGGGCGTGGTAGCGCGTGCCTGTAGTTCCAGCTACTTGGAAGGCTGAGGCAGAAGGATTGCCGGAGCCCAGCAGGTCGAGGCTGTGGTGGCCAGGAGTCGCCACTGCACTCCAGTCTGGGCGACAGAGTGAGACTCCAACTCAAAAAAAAAAAGAAAGAAAGAAAGCTGATTAGGACCCCAGGCTCAGACAGTAAATGAGGCATTTGGTTGCTGTTTCTCTTTTATTCAGAGGCAGGGTCTTGCTCCATTGCCCGGGCTGGAGGGCAGTGGTGCAATCATAGCTCACTGCAGCCTTGAACTCCTGGGCTTAAGTAGTCCTCCTGCCTCAGCCTCCCGAGTAGCTGGGACTACAGGTATGTACCATTACACCTGGCTAATTTTATTTCTTTCTTGATTTTTTAGCGATGGGGGTCTCACTGATCTTGAACGCCTGACCTCAAGTGATCCTCCTGCTTTGGCCTCCCAAAGTGTTGGGATTACAGGCATGAGCCACTGTGCCCAGCCAAGGGAATCTGTTTAAGAAATGTTCACTATGGACCCTGCCCTCATGAAGCTTACAGCACGGTAAAGGATCTGCCCAGCCCCTCACTCCTGGGAAATGTGCTCTGTCCCTTTAGGAATGGGTCTCCAGCCACACTGGCAGCATGTGATCCTGACTACAGATGAGGGACCCACAAGCAGTTACATGATCCAAGCTGCCAGGGAGATTCCCTCATGTGTACAGATGAGGGACCCACAAGCAGTTACATGATCCAAGCTGCCAGGGAGATTCCCTCATGTGTGAAATGCAATGTCCACAGGCTGCTCAGTCTCTGCCATGTGGCTGGAGCAAGGGGCATGGGGAATTCCAGGAATTGTGGAAGAGCCATCTGCAGAGAGAGCAGGGAGTCCAGGCACAGATGGAAGCAGAGGCAGAGAACGTGGCTCCAGAGAGAGATGGGGAGGGCAGCAGCCTCCATTCCCAACAGCTTTCCAGCTCCCAGTTTCAGGCCCTTTCCCACCTGACCACCTCCCACCGAGAGCTGGGGAGACACCCTGAATCCAACAGCATAGTCCTGTTTTTTTTTTTTGAGTTGGAGTCTCACTCTGTCGCCCAGAGTGGAGTGCAGTGGCCGCTCGCAGCCACTGCAGTCTCGACCTGCTGGGCTCAGGCAATCCTTCCGCCTCAGCCTTCCAAGTAGCTGGAACTACAGGTGTGCGCTATCACGCCCGGCTCATTTTGATTTATTGTAGCGAAGAGGTCTCGCCAAGTTGCCCAGGCAGGTCTCGAGCCCGCAGGCGAAGGCAATCCGCTCACCTCAGCCTCCCAAAGGCACGGGATTACAGGTTGAGCCACCGAGCCCGGCTCATAGTCCTATTTTTATGCTAAGCTAGTGCAACTGGACTTCAATGACTATAATCCCAGCACTCTGAGAGGCTGAGGCAGGAGGATGCTTGAGCCCAGGAGGTGGAGGCTGCAGTGAGCCAGGATTGTGCCACTGTACTCGGGCATGGGTGACAGAATGAGACCAACTCAAAAAAAAAAAAATAATAATGCCAGGTATGGTGGCTTATGCCTGTAATCCCAGCATTTTGGGAGGCGAAGGTGAGAGGATTTCCTGAGCCCAGAGTTTGAGCCCTGGGCAACTTGGCAAGACCTCATCTCTATAATAAATCAAAAAAATTGGCTGGGTGTGGTGGCATGCACTTGTAATTCCAGCTACTTGGAAGGCTGAGGTGGAAGGATCATCAGAGCCCAGAAGTTGAGGCTGTGGTGGCCGTGAGCGTGCCACTACACTCCAGCCTGGGTGGCAGTGAGACTCCTACTCAAAAAAAAGAAAGAAAAAAGCTATCTTAGCCACACTGAGGAATCCAATGAGACTTACTCAGAAATTAACTGGGAGATTTCCTTGTCTAGCATGTCCCTCTTCTCCTTCAGTTTCTGAATGTCAAGGTGCAGAGACTTCTCGGTGGTTCCATCAGCCTGGCCAGACTTGAGAGATGGCCGCTGAATGGCAGAAAAAATCATCAGTGGGATGGACCAATTATCCACAATTCAAAGGTTACATGTTGTCCCCCAATGGCCACTCCCTGCTTCTACTGGGTGATAGAATCCCCCACCTACCAGTCCCCAGAATAAGACTACATTTCCAAGCCTTCCTTGGAATTAGATGTGACCCTATGAGTAACTTCTGGCAAGTGGAACTTAATCAGAAATGGTGTATGTGTGGGAGGTTGAGACAGGAGGATGGCTTGAGCCCAGAAGCTTGAGACTGCAGTGAGTTATGATCACACCACTGCTCTCCAGCCTGGGTGGGTAACAGAGTGAGACCCTGACTTAAAAAAAAAATAGAAAAAAATAAATTTATGTTGGCCAGGTGCAGTGGCTCATGCCTGTAATCCCCAGCACTTTGGGAGGCCAAGACAGGAGGACCACTTGAGCCCAGGAGTTCAAGACCAGCCTAGGCTACATAGCGAGACCTCGTCTCTATAAAAATCAAAAAATGAGGGAGGCATGGTGGTATATGCCTGTAGTCCCAGCTACAAAGAGGCTGAGGTAGAAGGATCACCTGAGCCCAGGAGGTTGAGGCTGTGGTGAACCGTGACGGTGCCGTTGCACTCCAGCCTGGGCAACATAATGAGACCCTGACTCAAGGTGTATGTGACATCTGGGAGTAGTCCTTCCAGGGAGAGGGCATGCCTTTCTCTGGCCTTCCTCCTTCCTGCTGGCTGGAGTGTGGCTATGACACTAAAGCTGAGCAGCTACTTTGGATGATAAGGCAGAAGTGACACATTGAGAGTGTGGAAGAACAAGATGGAGGTCAGGGACCCTGATGACCATTTCAGCCACTGTGATTTGGGGTTTTCTTTTAGTCTCAGCCAAACCCAATCCCAGTCAATGGGCCTGCCCTGGCCCCCAATCTGACTGCAGAAAATTCACTCCATGTCTCCTTCTCATGTCTGCGATGTCACTGGGTTTATAATCTCATTGGATAAAGCCCTTTCCTGGGGCTACAGTTCATCTTTGCCTTTTCTGTCCCTAAAAGCTGTGAAGGCCAGTGCCAAGTGAAAGGTTAATCTTCAGGAAACATTTGTTGGAGGAACTGTCTACAAATGATACAAGAGGAGACCAGGGAAGATGCTGCTTCTGTTTTTAGGTCAGTGGCTTGTAACTTACTGCTTGGCAAACAGTGAGTAAGCTCTGCTTGCCAGGCACTGGCAAGACTCCAGGGGCAAAGTCACGAATAAGACATCAAGCCTGGCCCCTGTCTTCCTGGAACGGATAGCTTAGCCCAAAGAGAAAACACTCAACAACGATCTTCTTCCTCCCGCTATCTCCATTTAAAGCTCTACTCATATGCCACCTCATCAGAAAGGCTTTTCCTGATTACCCTGTCAAACCCAATCACTCACTATCCCTTTTTCCTGACTTCTTTTTAAAAATTAGTGTCTCACTCCATTGCCCAGGCTGGAGTGCAGTGGCATGATCATAGCTCACTGCAGCTTTTACCTCCTGGGCTCAGGTGATTCTTTTGCCTTAGCCTCCCAAGTAGCTAGGACTACAGGCGTGCACCACCATGCCCTGCTAATTTGTTGTTTTTTTTTTTTTTTTTTGAGTTGGAGGCTCACTCTATCACCCAGGCTGGAGGGCAGTAGCACACTCCTGGCTACCACAGTCTCGACCTGCTGGGCTCAGGCAATCCTTCCGTCTCAGCCTTCTAAGTAGCTGGAACTATAGGCACACGCCACCATGCCCGGCTAATTTTTTTTTTTTTTAATTGTAGAGATGAGGTCTTGCCAAGTTTCCCAGGCTGGTCTCGAACCTGCAGGTTTCTGGCAATCCTCTCACCTCGGCCTCCCAAAGTGCTGGGATTATAGGTGTGAGCCACAGCGCCTGGCCAATTTCTTTATTTTTATTGTTTGTAAGGACAAGGTCTTATTATGTTGACCAGGCTAGTCTCAAACTCCTGGGCTCAATCAATCCTCCTACCTTTGTCTCCCAAAGGATTGGACTTACAAGCATGTGCTGCCATGCCCAGCCATAATAGTACACTATTTCATATCAGGGACTGGAGTATTGCTGATATCCTGGTAGCAATCCCTAGCAGATACCCAGGGACTGTGTACCCAAATGCTCTAAGGCAGGAGAGAACACATACACTGGAAAGAATGACAGTGGTTTCCATTGTGGGTGGAATGGGTGATAGGGGACAGTGGTGTAAAAAAGAACAAGAGAGCTGGGCACAGTGGCTCCCAGGACTTTGGGAGGCTGAGGCAAGAGGATTGCCTGAGCCCATGGGTTCGAGATCAGCCTGGGCAACATGGCGAGACCTCATCTCTACAATTAAAAAAAAATTAGCTGAGTATGGTGGTACACACCTGTAGTTCTAGCTACTTGGAAGGTTGAGGTGGAAGGATCGCCTGAGCCCAGTAGGTCAAGGCTGCAGTGGTTGAGAGTATGTCACTGCACTCCAGCTTGGGCGATAGAGTGACACTTCAATTCAGCGACAACAAAAAAGAACAACCAAGTGTGGTACTGTTAGAAAGGCGAGGCAGAGCCCAGTTTGAGAACCTGGGGTGCCAATGAGGATATGAAACCAGCTTGAGGAGGAGCTGGTAGTGTTCCTGGTTGGGATGCCGAGTGCGGGTTGACTTGGCAGGTGGGAAGGCTAAGATATCCTGCAGGTAGCTCTGAGTGTCCTGAGAAAGTTCAGGGCTAGAGAGAAATGGAAGTTGTAGACACTGGCTAAGTCGAAGGCGTGGGAGTGAGACTATTGAGGGGCATGTAGAAGGAGAACTGCAGAAAGAGGAGAGCAGAACCACTAAAAAACACCCACGTTTGCTGGGTGTGGTGGCTCATGCCTGTAATCCCAGTACTTTGAGAGGCAGAAGGGAGAACTGCCTGAGCTCAGTGGTTCAAGACCAGCCTGGGCAACTTGGTGAGACCTCATCTCTACAATAAATCAAAAAATTAGGCGTGGTGGCGCATGCCTGTGTTTCCAGCTACTTGGAAGGCTGAGGCAGAGGATTGCTTGAGTCCAGCAGGTTGAGGCTACGGTGGCTGTGAGTGTGTCACTATACTCCAGCCTGGGTGATAGAGACTCTTGATTCAAAAAAATAAGAAAGAAAAAGAAAAAAAAGGCTGAGTGCAGTGGCTCAAACCTGTAATCCCAGCACTTTGGGAGGCCGAGGCAAGAGGACTGCCTGAGACCAGGGGTTTGAGACCAGCCTGGGCAACTTGGCGAGACCTCATCTCTACAATCAAAAAATAAGCTGGGCATGGTAGCATGTGCCTGTAGCTCCAGCTGCTTAGAAGGCTGAGACGGAAGGGATCACCTGAGCCCAGCAGGTCCAGGCTGCAGTGGCCATGAGTGTGCCTGGGTGACAGAGACTCCTATTCCAAAAAAAAAGAAAAAAAAAGAAATGCCCATGTTTACCCAAGGAGCAGCAGGAAGCAGAAGAGCCAGCTAAGCGGGTAAAGAAAAACAGAAGCAGGAGGTCAGGAGGATGCCCCTGCACAGAGGCCCAAAGAAGAGCTCCCAGCGCTGTCACTTTTTGACTGTACTCATCTCTCAGAGGCCTCACCTGTAACATGGGGATGATAAAGTATCCGCCTCCAAGGTGTTGGTGAGATAATGTAAACTAAGCTGACTGGCACATAGTAAGTGCTCAATAAAGCCTTGTTTTTAAAAGGACAAGGAAGCTGGGTGTGGTGGCTCATGCACTTTGGAAGGACGAGGCAGGAGGATCACTGAGCCCAGGAGTTCTATTTCTCTAATTTCTAAAAAAGAAAATCTAATCTAAAAAAGAAAATAAAAAAGCTAGTCAGGTTTGGTGGTGCCTTAGTTCCAGTTGCTTGGGAGGCTAAGACAGGAGGATCGCTTGAGCCCAGCAGGTCGAGGCCGTGGTGAGCCATGATGGTGACACTACACTCCAGCCTGGACAACGGAGTGAGACCCCTGCCTCAAAAAAAAAGGGGGTGGGGGAAGGAATGAATTAGCATGAAGGAGAAAGGCACAAGCTCTAGTCAGATACCCCAAGATGGTCAAAGACAACGGATACCAATGTACTCTCAGGGAGGAGCTCAATCAGTCCGATGTTTTTGGCCAACTGTGGTTGCCACCCTGCCAGCTGGGCTCACTACAGCTTACTTCCACAGCCTCTGGGGAGCCCCCGTGCATGCCTAACTCCCTTTCTCCCTCTCAGAACTGTGTTCATACTGTCCTGAAGGGCTTTTTGTTTTTACGTCTATTTATCTTTCTCAGACTGTGGCTTCGGGAAGGCAGGTGTGGCACACACCTGTGTCCCAGCAGCTGCTGAATCAATGAACAAATGAACACCAAGTCTTTCAGGAACTAACTTGAGGGTGGTGGTGGCGGAAACCCCATCTAGGGATGGGAGAGGCTGTTTTGGAGATGGCTTGCCAGAGCAACTGAAGGCGTGGCCAGCGTGAAGGCCAAGCGTTTTCCTGATTGGGGAGCTGTGGGTATGTTTAAAGGCAGAGCTGGGGAAAGGGAGAAACCAGTGAGCGGGAGAGATGGCAGGTGCTAGAGAGGGAGCAAGGCATCCGACGAGGAGTGAGGAGGAAAGGGGCGGGAAGGAGCTATACTAGGAAAACGGGACAAGACCGAGGGGCAGGAGGAAAGGAAGCGGAGGGATGGAGAAACGACCTGGAGGGTGTCGGTGGGTTGGGGGAAGGCCCAGAAGAGGGCCGAGCGGGGTGGGCAGCTGTGGGATGCAGAGCGGGACGGAGGCCCAGACATACTCACAGGGGATCGGAAGGCCCGGCGGCAACGTCGGTTCGGTCCCGGTTCCGTCCTAGAGAGGAATTCGAGGGGAAAGGCTGATTGGACCGACAGCCTACTCCCAGAAGAAAGGGGTACCGAGGGGCGAGGGGCGAGGGAGCAGGAGCAGCCGCCAAGAGCAGCGACGGAGACCGGATCCGGCTGGGAGGGGGCGAATACGCTTCCGGGGTTAGGGGGAGGGGGCGCTCTGAGAGGGGCAGCGTCTGGAGGACCGGAAGGAGGTCCCTGGAGGTGATTTCTGGGACGACAAAGTCTGACAGGGATGTGAGGAGTCAGGGACTGTGAAGTGATGCACTTTTCCCCCTGCTGCCGTTCTCCGCCCACCTCCCGAGCCCTGGGGTCCAAGGCCCCCGCGCCGGGGGGCTCAGCGGCCTAGGAGGGTCCAGGGCGGGGGCCAGAGAGCGGCGTCTCACATCCACCAGGTAACCGAAACTCTATGAGGGAGACCAGAAACCGTCGCACAGAAAGCTGCGTGCGCATCCGGCGGGGGCGTGCCCTCGGGTGCGCGGCACGGCTTTCATTGTGACTCCACTCAATTCTCTGGGCGTAGGCTATCTGGCCACGCCCCTTTTTGTACGTGTCGTTGGCGTCGACCAATGGGACGAGAGAAGTTAGGCCACGCCCCTCACATTCCAAATTCGATTGCCTATATATTCCGGGTCCCGCCCAGTCTGGCTCACACTCACAGCTGCGCGGTAGCTGCCGGAAGCAACTTCGCGGTGGTTGCCGGGATCGCGGTGATGTGGCCCTCCCCTTACCCCCCTTCTAGTCCCCCCCCTCCCGCGATGTCGGAAGAAACCCGACGGAGCAAACTGGCTGCGGCCAAAAAGAAGGTAAAACGCGCCGGGTCGCGGTCCCCCGACCCAGCCTGATTCCCCTCCAACGGCAGTTCCGTGGTCGAGTCTGTGCCACTCCTGAGGCACACGGGCTAGCCCCTCGGTACCCCTGCGCTCCCCCAACCAAAGTCTTTTCAGCCAGCCCCGCCCCCTCAGCAGCCCAGCCCCAGCCCTCGCCAGTCGCTCCGGGGTGACTTTGGGCCGGTGAGCCCCGGGATTCCCCACTCCGAACTTGGCCCTCGCCTCCTGCTGCCCCAAACCAGGGCTCCCTGGGCGCCGGTCTCCAAGAGCCTGGATCCTGGCCCTGCGTTCCCCTCCCCCACCGCGGCGTGGCGACTCGGGCGTCGGTGGGAAGGAGCGGAATGTTGTTACGTCACAGTCCCCCTCGGGACTGATGACTGCCGCCAGCGCGGGCTTTGATCTTACGACCCAGTCCCCTACGTTTTCTCACCCCTTTCTGGTTTCTCTGGTTGTGGCACAGATTTCCAGCTGGGCGGGGACTCGGGACTATGGGACCTGGGACCGAGAGGTTTCAGGCTCCCCTTCTCCCTTAACTTAGAAATTGACAGTGTGGAAAGCCTGCACTCCACCAGTGAGCTCCCAGAGTTGGCACTGTCTCTGGGTGGCAATGGGAGAATGGGTTCGATTTGGTTTTCTTCTACGTTTCTACTCTCCAGAGAAACTAAAATTCTTTTCTGAGTTCCCTACGTCACATTCCAATTCCCCATGAGACTAGAGACTCTTCAATAAGTGCTCTCTGGAGTGAAATCTGCTTATCCTCTGTGGAGCAGATCCTGGAAAACTGAACTGAACAGCCTGAATCTTCCCAAAAATCATATTCTCAACCTGGGGCGCTCTGAGTGCCACAGGATAAATATGGGGCTTCTTTCTGAAGCATCAGTTTTGCTTGAGTCTCTTGACAGAGAACAATGTATTTAGAGATGTCATTTGCATAGGTTTGTAAGATTATAATAGACTTTTCTCTGAAACGACGTTTGGATTGTCCTTTTTGTTAGGTTTCCATATTCACTAGGAGTGTGTTTTTGCTGATTTTGCCATTAGGATACATTGATATAAAAGTTTGAGAAGTACTGGTGTGCAGTTGTAACAGATATAACAGAAAGGACCTCAATGTCTAGTTTTTTTTTTTTTTTTTTGAGTTGGAAGTCTCTGTCAGCCAGTCTGGAGTACAGTGGCATGTTCACATATCCTTCTGCCAATTAGCTGGATCCACAGGTGCATGCCACCATGCCTGGTTAATTTTTTTGATTTATTGTAGAGACAAGGTCTTGCCAAGTTGCCCAGGCTGGTCTTGAACCCTTGGGCTCAGGCAGTCCTCTCGCCTCTGCCTCCCAAAGTACTGAGGTTGCAGGTGTGAGTCACTGCACCTGGCTCTTTTTTTTTTTT